CACTGATTATGTTTTTTTATGTATATTGTACATATTATGTATTTATTATGTATTATATATGTATAATATTACTTTGAAGAAAATGGTTATCTGAAAGGTAATTAAGAAAAATGAAAATAAAAGGTTTTATTTTACCTTCATTTATTTCTTCTCTAATGCCCCTCATTTCTAACCTATTTTGTTTTCCTTCTCTCTGATAACTTAAATGTTTTCTTTCTTTAGAAAAGAAATTGCATTTCTTGCATAGTAGGGCTACCTGTGACATTTCTTCATTTGTTATCAAAATATATGTTTGTCTGCAAGTCTTTGTTTCTCCTTTACTTTTGAAGGATGATTTCTCTGGATACAGAATTGTAGGTTGGTGATTATTTTCTTTCAACACTTTCTCACTCCACTCTCGCTTGTGTGGTTTCTTCAGAGAAGTCCAAAGTAATTCTTATCCTTGTTCCTCTCTCTGGAAGGTGGGTTTTTTCCCCTTTGGCTTTTTTCAATATTTTTTCTTCGTATGGTTTTCTGCAGTTTGAATATGACATGCTTGGGTGTAAATTTTTGATGTTCTCTGAGCTTTCTGAATCTGGTTTCATGTCTGTCATTAATTTAGGAAAAAACTTCAAATATTTCTTCTGTTCCTTTTTTTATGTCTTCTCCTGATATTCCCAGTATGCCTAAGTTACACCTAGTATGATTGTCCAACAGTTCTTGCATATCTATTCCATATCTTGCATATGCTATTCCATCTTTTTCATTCTCTTTTCTTTTTGAATTTCAGCTTTGGAAATTTCTCCTGACATATCTTCAAGCTCTCTGATTTTTTCTTCAGCCATGTCCAGTTTCCTGCTGAATCCATCAAAGCCATTCTTTATTTCTCTTATAGTGTTTTTTATTTTTAGTATTTCCTTGGGTTCTTTTTTAGTTTTCATCTCTGCTTACATTACCCATGTGTTCTTGCAAGTTGTCCACTTTTTTACATTAGCACCTTTAGCATATTAATCATAGTTGAATCCCCAATCTGATAATTCCAAAATTTCTGCATATCTGAGTCTGTTTCTGATGTCTGACTTGCCTCTTCAGATTTGAGTTTTTTGGGGTTTGTGGTGGTTGTTGTTGTTTGCCTTTTAGCATGAGTTGTAATTTTTTGTTGGACACTAGACATGATATATCAAGTGGAAAAAACTAAAATACATAGGCCTTTAGTGTGAGCTTTTATGTTTTCTGCCAAGGAATTAGGCTGTTCCCTGTTGACTATAGCTGTGGTGTCAGAGCTAAAATTTTCTTTAGTGTCCTTTTCCTTCTCTCCCTGGTTTTCTTTGAGTGTCCCTAGAGACTCTTAAATGGGGGTCTCAGGCTTGCAGTTATTTTGGCTTTGATCTCCTGTTATTACACAGGAACCTAATGATGTGGTGGTAAATTGTGGGGAGGGGAAATGTTCCATAGTCCTCTGATTAGGTCTCAGTCTTTTAGTGAGCCTTATTTCTCTTCCCTCAGATCGGTGAGGCTTTGATGCTCCCCCAGGCTGGTAAAATAGTTTCACTGAGGACACGCCTTATTAAGAAGAACAGAGAGCTCTGGGAATATTCCCAAATGGCCACTTTTTCCCTCCCTCTGTGGGAAGCAAGGGTGAGGTTCACAGTGAGAACCTGGTAGGCCTCCTACTAGTAAAATTCAGGATAGCATGGGAGCCCCTCTGTGATGGGGCCCCTCACAGTTCTTAACTCTCAACTGGCCCACACTGAGCCACCAGCAATTTGTCAATTATAGTTGAAGGTATTCCTATGAGATTGTCTTCGGTGCACTTCTCTTCCTGAGCTTCTGCTCCCAGGAGGTTGTGAACCTCGCTATCTGCCTATCTCCCATTTTCAGAGCAGAAGTTTGCCCTGTGACCTCAGTTTTCTGATGGATCTAAGAAGAATTGATTTGAAATCTGTTCAGCTTTTACCTGTTGTGTTGATGGGAGTGATGACTTCCAAACTCTTTACATATTGGACCGGAAACTAGAGTCCAGATGAGTAAACAAATTCAGGTAGATTAAATACCTCAACCAAGCTGAAAACACTAGTAAGTGGTAGTCCAGGTATTCCCAACTGGTTCTGGGTAGACTAGAGCTTGGAGTAGGGCCCAGCACATGTTTGACAAATGAATCAGTGGCCCCAAGGCCAGGCCAGACCCCTTTCCACTATATCATACCACCGTTATCAAACGTACAGTGATTAGATGGGGTCTAGGGTTCAGAGAATAAAGAAAATAACCAAATGAAAACTTCCCTCAATAAAAAAAAAATAAAAGAATGGAACATTCTTAAGGGTATTAGTGAAGAAAACAAAAAATTACTTACATAACAAGGGAAAGAATTGCTATAAAGTAAGCCTAATCAGCACTAGAATACTTTGGTCAAATGTGGACAACTAACTGAGATGTAAGAGGTAAAGAAAACTCAGACTACCCCATTTCCATTTTTATCAGTTTAGTAAACTGCTTCTAGACAGGTGTTCAGAATATGAAAGTGGTTTACAAGACAGATGCAAAGAGGATCTGGAAAGTGAGGCCTTTGGAGGAAGAGTACTCTGTGTCTAGAGAAGAAGAAGCTGGGGGTCCGTTGAATAGGCCTCCAAGCATATGAAGAGCAGGCCCACCTCTACCATTTACAGAGCACAAGGCCAGAACAATGGAAGCCATGCATCATATGACAGATTGAAAAGTTACAGATCAAGTTAACTGTTAAATAAATATGTTCTGTCATTTACCATAATAAAAATAGTTTTATAACAACATCAAGAACTACATGTAAAATTAAGACTGAAAGTTGGCAAGATATCAAAGACAACAGAATTTACTAATTGTTCCCATGACTGGGTTACCTATTGGTGGGTCTATAATGTTTGAGTGACTAATAAAATAAAGACACACATAAATTATGCATAATGTGTATTCCATAAGTTTATTTTCTTGCATTTATTTCAGCAGAATCATTAATTATATTTTTATTTTTTAAGTTTTTTAATTACATTTTTAGAATCAAGATTTTGATTTATTACATTATCAATAATGATATAAGCTGGATTTTAAAAGAAAATATAAATCTAAAGCATATACAGTTTGAATACATTTTTAGCAAGTGTAAATTAACGTAAAAAACAAAAATTTAAACTTATTTACATGTCTTAAAAATGAGTTATTTTATTCAGAATTATCTGTTATGTCACAGTGAGGAATAAATATAATTAATAAATAACAAAAGTTTAAACTAAGATCATTTAGATAAAAATTAACCTTTTCATTTACTTTTTTGAAATTTAAATTGTTGTGTGTATTTATAAAACTAAAACTATTCACAGTTCTAGGTTTCTGAGTTCATCAAGTGCCTACATAAAAAATCGCTACCATGCTTCACACATATGCCTAAACTTCATACATTCAAATTTAAGAGTAATTTGAATTGTTTACTATTGCAAAATATTCCTGCTATGTCAAGGGCAACTCTCGTAAATACGATATCAATTCCTGAGTACTTCTAGAATCACAATTTGGACTAAAAAGAAAGCAAGAGTATGGATGTTCGGCGCCACAGAAAAATAACCCTTCATCATATGAAGTGCTACTGCATTTATGCTATCCAAGAGGAATGATTTTATTCAAATTACTTAGTTTTTTTATCTAAGCATCTTTGTCACTTAAATTATTTTCATCCTTGAAAGCAGTGTCTGTTACAGCGTAACTGTCCTTCATGTCACTTGGGCTTAGTCACTTTTATTTCACTAACACAGAGCAACAGATGTGAGCTTCTCCCTGGGGCCTGAACAGTGTCAGTAATAAAAGCAGGTATTTAGGGTTAAGAGCACTGCTGGGCCAGAGTAGAGAGCCGGCGGCAGAGACACCTGTGTATTCTTCAGTACATTTATGTCTTGTGTGTTTGTAACGTATGAACTCTCTAAAAGAGGTGGGCTCAGGGTGGAGGTCCTGCTTTCCAAGGTTTTCTTAAAGGGAAAAAAACCAAAAACTGTCCCAAATCATCTCCATTACGGATAGGCCTCCCATAGGAGGAGACACATATGATTTTATCTAGTCTGACCATTTATTTACAGTATTCACTGTTGATTTAGTACTTTACTTCTTTAATTTATTTGCCTTTTTACCATGCATGAAGAGTATTCATTTCTGTCCTCAGTCAAATGTGGCTTCTCTGGCTACTGAGTAAAAGAATGCTTTTGCCCTCTAAACTCCTGTAGCATTCCTTTGAATGCTACAACACTGTGGTACTTAGCACAGTATATCACCTTTCCCATTTCATTCATGCAGTCAACAAATCTTTATTTTTTACAAAACAAAGTACCTACTCCTATGAAGCTTATATGTTCATGTGGGACGCAAAATAAATAAACATGTAATATCAAGGAGTGGTAATTAAGAAGATAGAGTCCAGTTGAGGTGATAGAAAGTTTCAGGAGTGCTATTTTGTATATACAGGCAGTCTGGGAGGGCCTCTTTGAACAGAGATGTCATAAAAGGAGGGAATGAGCCATGGAAATAAGTGGAGATAAGGCTGTCTAGGTGGAAGCATCTGTAAGTATAAAGACTAGAGGAAATGTGTCCAGTAAACAAGTGTTGCTAAAGAACACTAAATGAGGGGAAATGTAGAGGCCAATAAGCCACGTCAGAGAAGGACCCAAAAGCACAACTATGTGGGGGCCTTATAGGTCAAGGTAAAAAATACAGATTGTGAGTTCCTTGAAGAACTGGTCTGGTCTTTGCATTGCTCAGAGGTTTTTAATAGTACCACCCATAGCTATGGCAAGCCACGTGTCTAAGGAAGCTTCAGTATGTCTGACTTTCAAATGATAAGACTTAACTGCCAATTTTGTCCTATTTGAGGATATGATGGGAAATTTGAAGTGCGGTTAAATATCTATCTATAAATTTAATATGATATAAGTTATAATAAAATAATAATAACAATACAAAGTCAATAAGATCTCTGTGGTAATCTTTGATCTTTTTCTTCCCAGGATTTCCAAACTGTATTACCATCATTTGATCTCTTCTCAAAGTACGGAAAATTATATTCAAAAGCTGGACAAATTATCTAAAGGTATGCATTTCTGCTAAGAAGTACTTCAAAAAGTATATTAAAAACATTTTAAAAAATCAAATGAGATTGACTTTAACTTTTTAGCATTTTTAAAACCATGATATAATATTTATATATAATAAAACTCCATTTTTCATTCTAATTTAATGGTTTTTAACATTCAAAAATCATGGATTTTATTTTTCAAAGCTCTTCTCCAAAACAGACAAAATACATTAAGAAATAGGATTGACAAAAATCTGAAGTAGTCTTTTTCTTTAAGTTAATTAATACAATAAAAGTTTTACATAACGCCATGAAAAAATATTGATAGTGTCCAAAAGCTAAAATAGTTCAAAATACTGTTTTCAGTATGTGTGTTATTTGAAGTATGAGTTGTCTTTAGGGGATTCCAAATAAAGAGTGTCGAGGATCTCTGATTATCAAAGTTTACAGTAAAGAGAAGAACAGAGATACCCACATAAACTTCAAGATCACAAAATGAGCTCTCAGTGAAAACTGTTTAATTGTTGAGTTTTAGAATAGGAAGTGATTATAATCAAAGTAAGACTAATAGGTATTCTGGCACTTTCAGCCTCATATAAAGGAGGTATCAGATGAAGACAGCAAAGATCACTATGGTTGACGGAAAAGAGGCAGGAATGCAAAATCACACTGGGTGGAAGTCCCCGGTATCCTCCCACACCAGGAAGCAAGGGGAAAGCACTGGTCCATTGGAAAGAGCACAGAGTAGATTCAAGCAACTTATGTTTGTTCTGTAGATTTAGTGTTAGTGTCACTTCTCCCCCACTTACAACTTTGGATGCTTCAACTCAAAAATCAGTGTGTTAAATGTAGATAGTAGTATCTACCTCTTAACTACTCCAAAGGAATATTGGAAGGGAAATATGAAATATTCTGAGCTAATAGAAAAACATAGTGCCAAGCGGAATTGCGGTTTCAAAGGTTTGTAAAGTACCATTACATATGGGAACATTTATCTAGTATTTGTGATTCACAGTATGCAGTAGTGGAAATAGAATTTTTCATATTTGTGTATGACTTCAGATATTAGTTCAAAGATATAGTGGAAGAAATCAGAGAGGGAGACAAACCATGAGACTCTGGACTCCAGGAAACAAACTGAGGGTTACAGAGGGGAGGAGGGTGAGGGGATGGGGTAGCCGGGTGATGGGTATTAAGGAGGGCACGTGTTGTGATGAGCACTGGGTGTTGTACACAACTAATGAATTGTTGAACACTACATCAAAAAATAATGATGTACTATATGTCGGCTAATTGAACATAATAAAAAGAAAAGATACAGCCTGTTTATAATGGTGAAAGGTTGAAAACAATGTGTATACTCAGTATATGGTAAATTAAATAAATAAGACATAAATGCAATACTATGAAGACATTAAAAATGCTAATATAGATCTTTACCTATTAATTTGAAAAAATGCCTGTATTTCTAAGAAAAGAAGGCTGGATTCAAAAGAACCTGTGTAGTATGAATCCTTTAAAAAAGGTGTGTGTGTGTGTGTGTGTACACATATATAATGTGTGTGTATGTATAAAAACACTTGCATGCACTGACTTGTGTATTACATGTATATGTATACGTTCTTATAAGGCAAAATGTTAATGATAGTTATCTCTAGATAGTGAGATTATGATTGCCTTATCTTTTCGGGTGATAGTTCTTTGTGGTCTCATTTTATAAAATTTATATCTAATCAGACAAAAGCAAAGTGTTAAAATACTCCAATAGGGACTACTTGCTCTTCTCTACCAATTACAAAAACATCTTGACTTTATTCTATTCAATCATAATAATTTAGAGACAATTATCTTTTTTTTTCTAAAGACAAAATAATTACTTGCTAAATTATTTATAAAGAAGACAAGGATGAGTAACAAATGTTTCACATTACTTTTAATTAAAAAGTGTGCACAATGCACAGATATGTGACAGAAATATGTGATAGAAATTTGTAAAAATGTTTGCTAATGCTTCCCTTGGATTTTTAACTATTTTGTAAATTGAAAATATTATCAAAATGTCATCTCCCCTTCTTGGAAAGGAAATTAATGTCTAGTGTTTAATTTTGGTAAGTGAAGGGTAGCAGCCTTAGCTGAAGCTCTCCTATTAAGATTTAATTTCACCAAATACAACAGAGTGCTCCTGTTCTTTGTAAAGAAGGCCAAGACAGGGACACTTACACCAAAGTGTTGAATAAAGATGCCATAGTAATTTTTAGAGCTATCTATTTGATTGCTTCAGCTTCAAGGTAGTTCATCACTTCACTATAATTCACCCTACATTGCCTCTTACCCCCATACTACGTTTTCCCATCAGTCCGATTAGAATAGTGATGCCTTTACCAGATTAATCTTTCTTTCCTTAGCATGTCTGCGTTTCGGATAAACAGAGCCTACACTACCCATTTTGATTAATACACTAAGATTTCTGCTACTGAAATTGCTGAGAGTGAATTAGATTTTAAACACACACATATTTTAAAACTAGAATATGACTCCTTTTAATTTCTTTAATTTTCCTTTGTAACTGGTCATTTTTGTAACCTTTGATAGTTTTCCTAAAGGCAGCTTGGTTGAAATGAGATTATACTATGTTGCATCAAGGGTATGAATTGTTTTGCTACATTCATCTTCCCAGGCAGAAGAGTCTCTTTAAGGGTTTGAGTGAAGAAAACTTAGCAAAATGAGGTGAAAGCATTGGTTAATCTGACATCAATGTGAGTTTTCTTGCATTATGTGCTCCTTAAGTTTTTCGCATTCTTCTTTGTGATGGGCCTTGGTCCAGGCTGTCTTTCTGCGAAAATGTGGTTCAATTTTGAGACCAGATGAGTTAAGTTTTAATTAAATTATGCATGAAAACCAGTATACTCCCCCGCCTTTTCATAGGAATTTGGCTTATAAGTGACTCAAATAGCTGAGAAAAAAATTAAAATGAAACGTAAGTTTAGTTAGCACCTGAATTAGGGAACAGGTGAAATTCTATTGTCTTTCTCCAGAAGAAATAAGGTCTTAGCAACTGTGTAAGGAAAAAGAAGTTGTGTGAGGAGAAGGTAATAATCAAGCATATAAGCTATATATATGCCTGTTGGGGGTTAATTTTTTAATTCAACAAGAGAAATGATTTAAACCTTGTCACTCAGTTTGACACTATGTGAATTTATAACCCTTTCCAATTTAGTCATAATGAATTGGCAAAAAAAATGAAACAAAACCCAAGATTTCTTTAGTATCTTTTTCTTGACTCTGTGGTCCTTTGAATAAAGATGATATAAGAACCCACTTGCCTATAGGAAGACATTCTGCTGTGTTTCTCCATGACTGAGGCAGGTGGGCTGAGCATTCCATGTGTCTAATGGCACGATCAGCTTTGGTTACCAACATCTGCAGCAGTGTAAACAGAGATTAGAGAATAAGGTAATTCCAGCAGACATGAGTCAAATCACAGTGTAGCCTCCCAGACTTTTAACTGAGCTAACTCTAAGTGAGAAAGATTTAAATAGAGAATTTGAGAACTCATGTTCCTGGGTTCTTTTTCTTCTTTCATTGTACTCTTTTGTTTTTAGAAAATAAAAGAAGACAAAATGTAAAAATGAGGTTAAGGTATGAAGTGAGTGTGGAATAGAAGACCCCCACTGCCTAGAATCCTGGATTCTACTTCTGTGGCTATTGAGTAACCTTGACACAAGTCTCTTAACCTCTGAAGTGTTTCTCTCTCTCTCTCTCTCTCTGTTTCTCTCCCTCCCTTGCCCCCTCTTTCTCTCTCATTTGTCCAAAGGAGAAATTGTAAACATCTTTTGTTCATTCAAATATTCTAGTTCTAAAAGTAAAATAAAAATGTATCCTACAGAAAATACACTTAAACCACACTTCTTAAAGTGATTCAATAAACTATAATACTTTATATCCAACTGCTCATAAATTAATTACAGTGTGGACCTATGTACACATAGTATATGGATAGTGGGTCTTTTCCCTCTGAGAATGTCTGTCACAACCACAGCCCCTGGTGATCAAAAGTGCCATAAATGGCTCCACTGAAGTGGCCATATTCTGACCCCATCGCCATAGTCACAACTGATGAGGCCAGTTTGGGTACCCAAGTTAAGGGCAACCAACATGTAAGTGTGAATGATGAATGGTTTGAAATATGAATGGTATGAAGTGGTTTGGTGTGAGAGCTCTAGCCTAAGGAAAAATAGGGACCCATCAGACCAGTTAGAACCCCTTCAGGACGTTGAACTTGCAACATACAGACAAGACCAATGGGTGTGGGACCAGAAACATGGGCTCCCTCAAATAGAGAAGACATTTGCAGGTCTCTGTTGCAAAGAGAGTGAAAAGGTAATCTAGTACTAGGGTTGTACCTAGTACATTGTATTCACTTACTAAGTGGCTTCTGAATGAAAAACAAGTATCTGACTGGTTAAATTGTGAAATTTTAGAGTACACCTTCTCACCCTTTGAATCTTTCATAGCATTTAGCAGTCTATTAGGTATTTTGTAGGTGCTGGATGAATATTTATTGATTCTGCCTTCAGCACAAACTTGGAAGACAATTGGCTGGTATTAGAAAGAGTCTGAACATTGCCCACTTCAAAGCTATGTGGCAAGTCTGATGATTCAGTCCATAACCTTGCCCTTGTCTGTATGATAGTCTAAGCTGGAATTTTAAAACTGTTTAATATAATGAGGCATTATGCAAGGAATTATTATTTGTGGAGTTTTATAGGAAACAGATTCACTTTTAAAACAGTTAACATTAATTTAGAGCCAAATTTGGTGGGGCACCTGGGTGGCTCAGTCGGTTAAAACTCTGCCTTTGGCTCAAGTCATGATCCCAGGGTCCTGGGATGGAGCCCCAGTGGGCTCCCTGCTCAGTTGGGAGCCTGCTTCTCCCTCTCCCTCTCCCCCTCCCCACCTCAATTATAACTGAGGAAAGCAATCTGTTTCATCTGGAAAACTACTTAGCTACAT